TGTGTTATATAATAGAATGCGCTAATATAAATTGTTTATTATACGCAGTAAATATATTTCTTTAATTTACATTTATGTGTAGGCAGGCTGCCTATATCACAATATGCCTGCCTTTTTTTTTTAATCCTTGCCTATATAGGCGCCTTTTTCTTCAAGTTGTCTTGCCGTTAAATCCGAGCTTTAGACATAGCCATTCAAGGCTTTTCGTCCTTACTGCAAGCCTGCAAGAAGCACGTGGGTTAGGGGTGTGGGTTTCAGGAGTTTGTGGGACTAAGATCGAAGAGAGTAGAATAACGAACGAAAGAAAAAAAATTAAGAGAGAAGAAAGTAAGAGTAAGAACGAGGGGTTGGTTTGTGGCGTTTGTTTTTAATTTGGAAGTGTTTGTGACTTTAGGAGCTTTCCAGGAGATTTAAGATGTCGGGAATCACCTGCTTAAGGCGGGTGATTCCAGGGAGGGTCTGCCATTAGACTTGTCGGGGTTAGGTAGCGTGGGTTTGGGATAGTTTGAGAAAAAGTGTCTTTAATTTGTGGGTTTGGGTGGTTAAGGACGCAAATTTTGAACTTTTCGTGGAGCTTTGAGACGAATTGTTGCACGGTTTCGATTTGTGGGTTCGCGTGAATTTGTGAGTTACGGACGTACCAGGGGGGTCTTGTCATCCTGCGGAGGATTTTGTTTTGAAAAATTTGGAGTTTGCCTATGGTTTTTTTGGAGGTTTGGCTAATGATGGGGGCAGCATAGCATATTTGCGACCTGATTATTTGCTTGTAGAGCAGAGTTTTGTTTTTCAGAGTGAGCTTACTTTTGTGGTTTAAAAGAGAGTAAAGGGTGCCGGCTGTTTGGCTTCCTTTGGTGATTATTTTGTTAATGTGCTCGATAAAGTTTAGTTTAGAGTCGATTATAACGCCAAGATATTTGAGAGATTTAGAAAGTGGGATTTCGGTGTTGTTGAGCATTAGTTTGGGTGTGTTAGTGGGAGGTTTTTGTTTAAAAATTATCATGGCTTTGGTTTTTTCTGAATTAATTTTGATTTTCCAGGTGTCAGCCCACTCTTGAAAAATGTTTAAGTGCCGTTGGACAGGGCCAATTATCGTCGGCGAATAGTGCTAGGTTGGTGGGTGGATTTTTTGGAGCATCAGCGGTGTAGAKMTTGTAAAGGATTGGGGCAGGAGGGGAGCCCTGGGGGACTCCCGCTTYAATGTCGCGGATAGAGGATTTGATTTTGTTCAGTAGAGTGAAAAAMTTCCTCTTTTGGAGGTAGCTTGCCACCCACTGGACAAAGGCTAATGGAAGTTTGTGTGTGTGAAGGAGCTTCCAAATTAGCYCCTCGTGCCATACTTTATCGAAAGCTTTTCCTATGTCCAGACAGACGACTCCAGTGGAGCATCTGTCCTGGCAAGCGATCGTGGCATCTTGAATTAGCCTGGCTGCTTGCATTACGAAGTCATGTTTTTGCATGAATCCGCACTGCTCTCGATTAATTGGTTTTCTGAAATTAGTTTTTGGAGGCGGTCGAGAAAGAGTTTTTCTGTTAGTTTGGAAATTGTGGGAAGGAGGCTGATGGATCTCCAGTTTTGAGGAAAGGTTTTGTTTTTGGAGGGTTTGGGGATTAATACTACGGAGGCGGTTTTCCAAGGGGTTGGGAATTTCCATAGCAAAAAGGACGCATTGATTAGAATGAGGATCTGATTGAGGTTATTTTCCGGGAGTCGTTTGAGGATTTTGTTGGTTATTTGGTCGGGAGCGGGACTTGTGCGGGTTTTAAAGGTGGCGATTAGGGCGTTAAGCTCGGAGAGTGTTACGGGGGGAATTGCAGGAGCGTCAGGGGGGATTTGTTTGTCTTCGATATCGCTGAGGAAGTTGTCGACCTCCTCCTCGAAATCTAGCTTGTCGTTTTCGGAAATGTTGGGCGAGAACTGGCGTTCTAGGGAGTCCGCAAAAGCTTCACCTTTTTCTTCGTCCAAATAGACCACCCCTCGCTCACCATGTATAGGGGGAAATTGCGTTTTTGTTTTTCCTCGCATAGCCTTGGAGATTTTCCAGGCGCGCGGGTCGCCAGTTGGGAGGTTTTCCAAAAGTTCTGTCCACCTTTCGTTTCTTAGGTTTGAGATCTGAATTTTAATTTCCTTGCTTAGTTTGTTTGCCTGTTTGTTAAGCTCTGTGTTGGTGAATTGTTTAGCCCTTCGTTTTAGCCAGTTACGATTTTTAATAAGAATTTTAAGCTCAGGCGGCAGAGAGAACGGGTTTTTGTTCGAATTTGGCTTTAGGATTGTGGCTTTTGAGAGTGCTGAAGTGATGGTTTCTGTAATTTGGGCTGTTAAGTTGTTTAGATCTTGCAGATTTTGCGGAGGGTGGACAGTGATTTGAGCCTCTCCAAGGTGGTATGCGAGGGCGTCCCAGTCTGTGTAAGAAATTGGGGCTAAGGGGTTGTTAGTGTACTGTTCGTTGATGTCGATTATGATAGGGTTGTGGACAGAACTTAGGGAATCGGAGTTTGTAACGTGGAGGATGTGGTAGATGTCTTTAGAAATGGCAATGTCGAGAATGTCGGGGGTATTGTGGTTATAGTGTGTTGGCTCTGAGGGAGCATGAATTTCGAATTGTAAGTCTTGTGCGTAGTTGAGGAGCTTGTGCCCCTCGACGTTTGTTTTTCTGCAGCCCCAGGAAGTGTTTTTGAGTTGAGTTGGTTTAAAAACTGTTTTGACTTTGTGTTTCTCCAGTATCATGCCGGTCCTATCCGTGACTCCGGTTTTTTCCGGACGACCTCCACTGTTTCTTGGTCGAATTGCTCTATTAAACTCGTTCTTGCTGTATCCATTCCAACCAAAGGCCCTTTCTAGGTGTTTCAATTCTCTTTCTAACTCAGATGGTTCGCAAATTCTTCTGGCTCTTTCGGTGAGGGTTTTAATGACTCCTCTCTGTGCAGGTACCGGTCACTTCCATAGTGAACTGTATTTTTGGGTTTATTGATTTGAGGTGCCTCAGGAAGTCTAAGACTATAAGATATATACCTACTCTAAAATATTGAACTATTATTTTTCAGGTGCACTCAGCAGGATGCGACGAACGTCTTCTGGCCTATCTGAGGTCAACCGCGTCCCTACTGGCCATTTTGGGCTACTGTGTTTTGGCCTTCCTCAAGCTGTGCTTCCTGGGCATTTTGCGCTACGAAATTAGGGAGATGATCCAGAAAATTCGAATACTAAGGTAGGAAACTGAAAATCGAATGCCATGGACGAGAGAGGTAATATTCGGATGTTTTTCGCTTTCCAGGGCAGAACTTGAACTGCCGAACGTGAACGGGGCCGTACCGGGTACGTTGAGGGCAGAAGGGGCGGAAAGCGAAAGAGAGTCACTGCTGGTACGGCCCGAAAGTACGGCCCTGTTGTCGTCACCGCCTACGCAGCCCAAAAATCCGAATGGCAACAACAATTACGAAATGAGAGAATACCACAGAAGCCACGACAACATATGACTAAAGGTAATTGGAAAATGTTTACCCAGCCCCAAAAGTGCATAGAACCGGGCCAAAATCTGAATTTTACATACAGGGTGATTCAAAATTGCCGTCATTCCTTTTAAGATTTTAAGGCAATAGGGACTTACTTGAAGAGTGCCAAAATTATATTGAAAAAAAATTCAATAATTAACTATAATTCATATAATAGAAGATATTAACAGCTGAAAATCCAATTTCAACTTTGTTATTAAGCATTATTTTGAAATAGTCCTATGTTTGATTGGTGGCTTATTGAAATACTTAGGCATTCGAAACGAAAAACTACGATTTCTGCTTCAAATTACGATAAAAAAATTTACTTGATTTTTTGATGAAAAGTCAAAGCAGCAATGATTTTTTTTGTCATTAACAGGTAGTAATAGGTAGACAGACTTTGTCAATAATAACAAGCATTTGTCAAACTGTGATTTTGAAGCTCCTTTCACGAATTTACGCCATGCCATTTGTTCTGGGGAAATGCCACATTAACATAGCAGAAGTTGTCAGAACTTACACCCACAAAGGGCTGGACTGGACACTGGACGATTGGCTCCAGGAATTGACGCAGACAGTGTTGGTTCCAGACCTACAGGAACAGGTGTCGGAGATAATTGCAGTAGAGCTTTCCAAGAGAAGTCGGAGTATAAAAAAAATTAAAAAAATAAAAAAGCAAAAAAAAACAACTGACACCTTTCCAAGCACTGGATAATGGTCCTGAAATCTAGCCCGAGGAAGGGCTACATTCCTACCATGTATGTAAGATACCATAGAGAGGATTTACGCCAGGTGAGTTGAAAATCTCACACTGATCAGTCAGTCTATCCCGAGGATTCTGGGGGGACAAAACCTTGACAAAAAAGAAAAACCAAAATAGGAAACGCAGCATAAAGCTAAACATAGCGTCATATAGTAATAGTCACTGATCTCCGAAGAGAGATTCAAAAATTAGAAATTGAACTAACCCAGATAAAGTGAGACATAGTAGGCCTCAGCGAGGTTCGAAGCCGAGGAGAAAATTTAACAACTCTGAAATCGTGTCATCTATTCTATCATGCAGACCCAGAGGATAGAAGCGAAGGTAGGAACGCGAGGGGCGAAACTTTATCGAGGTATCTGCTTGAGAACAACCTATGTGAGATGAACAGCTTCTTTTTTAAGAAAAAAGACAGAAGATGGACATGGGAAAGCCCAGATGGCAGGTCTCATAACGAAATAGACTTCTTCATCTCCAAACGAAAAGGCATTTTTAGAGATGTCACTGTCTTAAATCAATTCGCTACCAGTAGTGACCATAGGATTATCGGGGCCCACATAGAATTACAAACAGAACAACAAAGAAAAAAAAAGATATAAAATGATTACAAAGAAAAAATCTACCAAATGGACGAACCTCGAAAATATAAAAGAATTCCAGGGCTACATCAGCAGTACTCTCGAAAGTAACCAGTGAGAAATTGAAAACGTGAACAGTCTGAACGAAACCATAATACCGTCAGTCAAGCTCAAATTAAATTCCGAACAACAAGAAATAAAGTAAGTGAATTCAGCCAGAACACCAAAACGTTAATAGAAAGAAGAAGGAAATGTGGAGGAACACAAATACAGATAGGCAAGAACTCAGAACCTTAAACAAGGAAATAACGAAGGCTGTAAGGAAAGACATAGCGCAAATAAATGCACAACTTATTAGAGAAATAATAGAACATAACAAAAATCTGAAAGTGCTTACGAGAAATATCTCTAAAGGGAACCCTGAAATTAACAAAATAAAAAATAGCCAAGGACAAGTAAGCTCCATTAGAGAAGAAATACTTCGAATAGTTGAGGAATTTTATAAACAACTCTATGAAAGCCAACATAAGCACGAACCAGATCAACTTCCAATTACGGAGACCAARGGAATTAGGAACCAAAAATCCGAGGACCGACCTGACATAACCACSGAAGAAATCAACTAMGCGATCCAAAAAATGRAGAACGGCAGGGCTCCGGGGGAAGACGGTGTAGTTATAGAATCCATTAAAGTTGGAGGACCAACTCTACTGAATAAAATAAARACACTATTCAATATATGCCGTCACAATGGTTTTYACAAAAAAAAAACACAATTACAGTCCTACTGCACAAAAAAGGGAACAAAACCAATCTCGCGAACTATAGATCCATAAGTCTGCTGAATCACTTATGYAAACTGTTTATCAGGATAATAGTCGGCAGAATTGAGAACAAATTGGACTTTTACCAGCAAAAAGAACAGGCGGGCTTCCGTTCTGGTTTTGTAACCAATGATCATCTGCAAAGTTTAAAAGTCCTAATAGAAAAAGCATTCGAATATAAGTGCCATTTTCATCAAAGAGTCAATTAATCATCATGAAGAACTTCCAATCCAACAGGTGAGTACACAACTAACTACAGTAGTAATAAAAACTACAAAACAAAATTTTTAAGTTGGAGCCATTTATATACCACCGAGATATAATCTTAAAATAGACGATTATTCGTTTATATTAAGACGTATGGGAGAAAGATTCATACTAGGAGGAGACTTTAATGCTAAACACGTAGATTGGGGCGCAAGAATAACAAATACAAAAGGAAAAGCGTTGAGAGAAGCTATTAGAAATATGAGCGGTAACTTTCATTCCACGGGAAAACCAACTTACTGGCCGGCAGATAGAACGAAAATCCCAGATTTATTGGACTTTTTTATCTCCAGAAAAGAATCATCGAATTACATCGAAATTAATGAGTGCTTTGACCTTGAATCAGACCATTCAGCAGTAGACATGACTATGAGTGAGAAAATCATTAAAAGGGAAGCCAAGCCAACACTCACCAACAAAACAACGGATTGGAAGTGCTTTCAAGCTGACCTACAAGAGAAAATCACGTTGAACGTAAGATTGAAAACAGCCGAACAACTCGACATAGAAACCGATAAATTTACGATTCTGCTGCAAACAGTTGCTTACAAAAACACCAAAGAAATTACTCACATCACGAAAGGAGTAAGCTATCCGGTTGAAATTCGGATTTTAGTCAAAGAGAAAAGAAAAGCAAGAAGACGATGGCAACAAACACGTCATCCTAGCGACAAGACATCATTAAATAGACAAACTCAAAAGCTGAAACGTGAAATTTACAAATTAAAACAGAATTCTAAATTCCTTTATTACAAATTTATCAGTAGATAAAGAAACTGAATATTCCTTGTGGAAGGTTACAAAAAATGTTAGAAAACCAGTTGTGTCAATACCGCCTATTAGAAAGCGACTAAGCGATTGGGCTCGTGATGATCAACAAAAAGCGGATCTATTTGCTGAATGTCTGGCAGGCGTATTTGTACCAAACGACATACAATAAACCAACACAATAACCCACCGGTTGCAGACAATATTTCGTCCTCCGATTCGATCGACATGATTGCTCTTGTTACTCCGAAAGAAGTAGCAGAAGAAATTAATAATAATCTCATCCTAAAAAAGGCCCCTGGGTTTGATTTAATTACGGGACAAATCCTGAAACAACTGCCAAAAAAAGGGGATACTGATGTTAACACATCTATTTAACGCCTCAATCAGGATTAAACATGTACCGGCAATGTGGAAAATACCTAAAGTCATCATGGTCCCCAAGTCTGGTAAACCTCAACACGATGTTAAGTCGTATAGACCAATTTCCCTCTTGCCAATAATATCAAAGCTTTTTGAAAAACTGTTGCTGAAAAGACTTAAACAAATAT